GAAAACGTGTTTCGTTCTCCCGGTAAATTTGAGATCAAAAACCGTAAAAAAGGAACAAATTTATATTACATAAAAACTCATACGGCCATGGTTCACCCATTCCTGGCAACATCGTCTAATAGTGGCATCGCTCCTGCTCAAATGTCGAGCTATTCTCCGATAAGACCAACCGTCTTCTTTGAGGCCAGCTACACGACCTCTTTCAAATTCTGACATGTGCGCATATCGTTCGCGCACCTGTATGCGAGGCATAGTTACTGTGTACCAGAGTACACGGAATGAAATTCGTGAAGAATTTATGACCTGGAATTGTAATTTCTCCTCTTAAATATCCTGCCAGTTGCGCAGTTCAGATGCGCTGTAGCGACAGTCATTCACTCATTGGCAGCCAAAATGTAAAAATTTTGCATTTTCTGTCGAAACCTGTATGCATATCAATTTGTGTCGAATTTGCTCTATATCTTCTCGGTGCGTCGAAGAGTGTACGTTCCTTTTTGCTTTTTTAGTTTTCGAGTTTGTACTACTTTGATCATTTTTATTTTGAAATGTTTTGATTTTATGTTTAACCCCTTTACAAGTGAGCAATTATTAATATTGTTGGGCAATCATCTTGCTTTGACTCCAATTTACTTTAACTTTAGATGCTTCAAGTTTATTTTACTTCAATCTTGCAGCCATAGCGCAGGACGGGTTTAAAAACTTTGCTTTTTATTTTTACCTCTTATTAAGTTTCTTTATGCATATATACACATGCATATGCGGATGCAAATTAATATGTGTTCTCTTTTTCTGATTATAATCATTAAGCTGACTTATTTCTCGAAAAAATTTTAACTTTCTTCCTTTTACATTTTATAATGATTTTCAAAAGTTTTCTTTTTGGTACTTTTTCTTCTGCATTTGAACAGCATTTTCTGAAAGTAATCAATAACGAAATTTGAGATTTAAGAATGATTTCGCAGCAAGTCCTAATCAGTTTAACAATAATTCTTATTACGCTTTTACTTTATCACAGCTACTGATCACCGAACCAACTATCTGGTGATTGATAGCTTTGTAACATCAATCGCTAAGTGTATATGCATTTTAGCAATTCTTGACTCTTTTTCTGAGTGATTGCTCGTAAGGAGCAGTCACTCAATTTGTGCGTTACTCTGATTATTTTAATGCATCAAATTACTAAATTTAGTATGATAATACATTGTTGGCCATCGAAAATGCAGCGCGAAGAAAGACAAGAGATATTAAAGCGAAATTTATTTTAGAGTTATAGTTTCAAATCAGTGTTAATTGATTTGAAATATAGCTTTCTTTGGGGTGAGGAAGACGAGAAAATCAGTAAAGTGTGTTGACTGCACTTTTGTAATAATCGCTGTTAACACGCCACGGCACTGAATGAAAAGGTCTTTGGATGTGCTGCCTTCACACGCAGCCAAAGTTCATCTGGGGTACACACGGGTGCGGCATGCCGGCAGAGCATGTTTTATGTATAAGGCTACACAAACTACAGCTTAGCGCCCCCACTCTCTTGTGAGCCCTCCAAAAATTAAAATATTATATAAATATAATATTAAAATATAGTATAACAGACTTATAAAGGGCCCCATAATTAGTGACGTAGCGAAGGGTGGGCAAGGGGTGTAGCATGCCCCGGGCGCCGCTCTCAGAGGGGTGCCAAATGGTCTCCAAACAAGATTTTTTTCGGTTTTTATTTTGATCGATGTTTGGAAAATGTATTTAAAATAAATAATTATTGTAATATAATTAATTAATTATTTGCTTGATTTGTCTGATAAAATGTGTAATAAAATGTTTGAAGTACATCAACCAAATATCTTCGCATACAAAACGTTCTTTCTAAGAGTTTACTATGCTTTTATGGTTCAATATCCTGATTTGCCGGTTCATATCATGTGGCCCCAAGGGATCTCATCTCACGTAAACTACGCTGCAAAAATCTAATTCTCTCAGTAATTATACGCTAATCTACGCTAATTTCAACTTAAATCTTAATTTGTAATACAAGTTAAAATGCAAGAATTATTTCAATTTGTACGATCAGCTTACTCAGTCAGAAGTTATGTAAAACCGCAGTTTACTTCACTAGTGCATTCTCATTAGAATGGATGAATTTAACTCTTGACTTTGCCTTTTCTATATTTTCGCTCTCGGGTGAGCGGTGTGATTGCATCCTAGTTGACTTAATGACCGCGAATGGCATAAAACTGAACTATCTGGTAAAAGTTTTATGTAATTAATTGTATGCCTGTATTGAAAGAAACAATCAATCTGATAAGAAATGGCTGCGACTTGTTTTGAAAATGAAGTGTAAAAGGTTACCAGCGGGGATATTCCGTTTGGCATCAGTTGTACCATTATTGAAGACTTCATCGCCTGCGGCAGCTAAACGGAAAAGTACCATATACTCTATACATTATATTACTGTAAATGTTTTTCTGGGGGAGGCGCCAAAAAGATATTTTGCCCCAGGCGCCAGTTATTCTAGCTACGCCACTGCCCCATATCTGAAATAGCTTAAGACCTTATCAAGTCTAAATCCGCCTTTGCATGTCGGGCATGGTGTTCTTCAATCATCGACCAGACATGTTCAATGGACGACTGATTTGGAAAACGGGCAGGCCATGGCAAGAATGCAATATGGTAGGCTTAAAAGAAAGCTTGAGCACTGTGTGTAACTATGCTTGTGCATTTTCCTACTGAAATATGGCCGAAGCCCTGAAGATAGGAAAAGAGAACAAGCTGTAAAACCTCAGAGATACAGCATTCGCTTGTAAGTGTACTAACAATGTGTACTAGGAGCGCGGCGTGCTATGCGGCTTATTCAATAATTCCCTCATAACAACAAGTGCAGAATCAGTAAGATGGTGCATAACACAACAGTCGGGAGCCTCTGTCCACGGTATCTTTTAACCCTAATCCGACCGTCGTGATACTGCAGTCAGAAGCATGATTGGTCAGAAAATGACATAATGCTATTGGGATGTCAATTTCTGCCATTCCATGCACCACTTCAAACGCAAAGTGTGGTTTAAAGTTAAGCGAAGCAATGGACGCCTAGCGGGCAGTTCGTTGTACAGTAAACAACGTCGAACTGTTCCTGTAGCTTCAACTGTTACGTTATTATAGACTGCATTCATTGTAATATGGTTTCGGATGTGACATTGCGCTAGATCAAGGTTATACGCACAATATGCTTTTTTTTTTTTTCCGTGGAGTGGCGCGTCGAGGCGGTTTCAAATCTCTTGGCTGTCAGTTGTGTAGTTGTTGTGACTCACTTGTCCGACAGTAACATCAAGCCCACTAAATTCTCCGGGCGAGTAGTACAATACTGTGCCTGCCGTTGGCAACAGCCAACGGCACAATACAGGTGACTGGACGATTTTGCCGAGTTCCGCCCCCAGTTTTGATAGCGAGCAAGCCGGGGTGACGCATCCGAGGATTTCCATTTCCCTCTTCCCCTACCTCTCGATTAATTAATTTAGCGATTTAATACATTTACACAATATGCTTTTTTTTCCCGTGGAGTGGCGCGTCGAGGCGGTTGCAAATCGCTTGTCTGTCAGTTGTGTAGTTGTTGTGACTGACTTGTCCGACAGTAACATCAAGCCCACTAAATTCTCCAGGCAAGTAGTACAAGACTGCGTCTGCCGTTGGCAACAGCCTTGAGCACAATACAGGTGACTGGACGACTTTGCCGAGTTCCGCCCCCAGTTTTGATAGCGAGCAAGCCGGGGTGACGCATCCGAGGATTTCCATCCCCCTCTTCCCCTACCTCTCGATTAATTAATTTAGCGATTTAATACATTTACAAATATCCATGCTTTCTCCGGAATTTTGAACCAGGGCTCTTCGGTCTTCGCTCATCAGTATGCCGGTTCGGCGGTTTGTCAATTGCTCCCTTCTCCATCCACCGATTCCATATTTGCTTGGCTGTTGCTTAGCTACATACGACAAGATGACCGATTTTTCCAAGAATAATCATCAGTCTCTGCTGCAATTATTCTGCCTCGGTCGAACTCAGAAACTTACTCGAATGATGCTTGTGTTTTTTTACGAAGTGTACGGAAGCTGGACACACAAAAATTCTTACGAAAGAACATTTCACGTTATTCGGAACAGCAGTTGTAAAGAACGCAGCAGTCCCCCATGATATGCCGCGTGAACTGAATCATAATCATTAACATATTCCATCGCGGTATACACATGTTGCAATTTTCGTGGATGCTTCCGTCATGGTGTTGCATTTTTGATAGCTAGCAGTTGAATTTGCAATTGAAGATTCAATCAGCATAAATTGAAAGCAATTTATTTAAATTAGTAACACAAGTATCATGTACATTAAAATCATCAAAACTTTCTGAAATGATTAAAGAAGCAAAACGCTTAATAAGATATAATATAAGCGTATCCTTTACATATTAAAATAACAGAGTATAAACAAATACAAATTTCAAACATGGAACTCATGTACAACCTGGAAAATACAGAAGTGAAAAGGCATAAAGGAAGATAAATCTAAAATTAGTGAGTACAAAAAAAATGTTTGGAAGTTTTTGTTTCACATTTGTTAGGTCATGCGTAAGAAATTTTCTGATATTTATTAACACATTACTGAAAGATATTTTGTTTAATTTCACTGCGTTTCCAAAGTGTTACGAAACTGAAAATTTACATTTTGTGATAATTTTTCAGCTAGTGTTTTTGTGTTATAATGATATTTAATATTTCCTCTAAGTTTACTTTTAATTCAATAACAAGTAAAATGGAAAAAAGGACAAAATGTCTTGCTAATAGCTGTGACTTTCTAGTGAACGTAATAAAACAAAGCTGTGTAAAGAAATAACGATTTTGGATAAATCGGATATGAAATAAGCAAGGGTAGAAAAAGTGTTATCATTGCATTGTGGATTTAACAATCCTAGAATGAAAGAATTTATGTTAGTTTGATTTAAGCGTAGAAATATTTTATAAGATACTAATTTTTTTTTTTTTTTTTTTTTTTTTTTTTTGTTTGCAGTTATTTACAGTAGAACTTTCCTATATAGTTAGAAGGTAGCAAAAATTCTAAATATTTAACAGTTTTGTGAATATTTAATAGGAAATTTTTCTGGATAATATCATAGAATAGTGTATTAAAATGCTTGATCCGAATCGGAAAGAATATTTGCATTCATCAAGAATTTTTCTTCGTTAGTCCTGTATACAGAAGTTTATCTCAGTAGCATGAAAAATTCCTTTTACATTGCTACGTACGAATTTAGAAGACTCAGATATTTCTCGCGTTATTCATTTAGTAAAAATAGCTATAGTTAAATTCTTAGTCTTAAGCCTTAGACCTTTGTCTTTACAATTCAAAAAAGCTGTCTGTTTTCGAAGTAAAACATTCTTTCACACCAAAATAGAATTATTTAATTACTCTTTAAAGTTTATGTATTAAGATATTTCAAGTATAGAATTTGCATATTCTTTCTCAGCTTCTCAATATGATAAGAAGTGCTTAACTGAACAGTGTACTTATGACAACCTTTCGCCATTTTATTAGGGCGCAGATTTCGCCCAGTTAATATAGAATTTCTTGAAAAGATCGTGACGATTATAAAATTTGGATACTAATAAAATGCTGCAGCCTCAGTTTTTCTCATAAGATCCTGGAGATGGAGGAGAATTTCTAGATATCTAAAGACTACGGGGAAGAAAGTAAATCAAAATGGCATTCTATGGCATTTGAAAATGGCGCCTCTCATCCAACAAAGAAGCTCGCCACGATCGAACGCGTGCTGTTAAAAAACGCTCTCTCGGAAATGTGTAGAGCTAGAACACATTGTCGCGCGTCTTTGAGAAAAGTAGATGTAAAATAAAATGCACAAATACAGCATTCAATGTTGCAGAAATTGGAATGTCTTTCAACTCCAGGATCTTACTCTTACCTTTCAAATCACATCTTTACTGAGGAAAAATAATTATCATTATCTGTAAAGTACACCAAGCATTTAGAATAACTCATCATGCTATATACCAGCAAAATAATGAATAGGTCGTCACGCAGAAACCTGCACTACAATTCGTGCTGCCAGAATTCCAGCTGTAATGAGTGATAATTCAGTAAATAACACTCAAACGATTTCAATTTTCGAATTAGAGAACATTTCTTATTACATTATTTCTTTGACTATTTCGTTGCACTTTAAACTAACCACGTTTTATTAAAGACGCGAATACACACTGTTCTTTATTATAATGCTTCAGGCGGGTTTGCATACCGAAGTTCGCTTTCGAAGCCACAGTTTTTTTCTCGTGAAACCGAGATAGAATTATATTAATTGTAAGGTCAGTATTTTCCGATTTCTGTGCTACGTTGTTCACACCTGAAGAGTAGAAATCAAATACAAAATCGCAGCCAAAAATCAAAATTGAAAATTAAGTTTCAAACATACGCGCGTTGTTCCAGATTGTATCAAGAAAGCGTTATGTTTTCGATCTCAATTACTTGGGCGAGTTCCACTGAAGGAAAAAGGAGTGCCACTTCCGCCATCAATTCACTTTTCTTGTTGCCGAATCTCAAACATAAAAAAAATGTTCTTCAGGTGTAGAAAAACGTGCACAGTCAGTCACAGAATGTCTAATATTTCATTCATTACGACATTAAAGGATAAATCTATTGCGCTTTCAATTCATGAAAAGCAATAATTTTTAATAATTTGATAAATATTATTACATTTTTAAAATATGATTTCACTTTATTAAATAAAGTAGCAACGCAGGAAATATTTTTATATTTCACCTGCTGATTGTTTATTTGAAGTTCTTCAACGTGAAATTTAAGCATAATATTATATTACTTGTAACAGGACTACTTGCATGTTGCTTTTTCAAAAACTACGCTTTTATATTTCAGGCAACCGCTATGTTGCCACTGGAATACGAAGGAAATATAAATATTTTAAAATTTTTAATGGAGGTATTCTGGCAATTAAACATTAGTGAAGAAAACAATACAAAAAATCGTCTGTTCCTTAAAATTAAAACTGTGATGAATGCAATATATTCTGCAAATGAAATGCGTGTCTTTGTAAATTGATTAGCTTACTCGAAATATTTTAGCCTGGTAATTAGTTGATTGTAATCCGCAATTCAAAAGGTAGGTTTTTCCTACCTTTGTTCACAAATTAACTTCCAGAAATTTATAATAAAATAAAAACAAATTTCTAAATCCAGCTAGAGACTACAAATATGCAATAGTCACAGTTTGTGCGATCAAAATTAAAAGAATTATGCTGTATAGTAAATGGTTATATTTGTGTTAACATTGTTATATATCGTTCTATCCAATATTATATATACTTCCAGCTAGTAAATCTAAAATGCATTTTGCGAAAATTTTCGAAGGCGTTTAAGAAAACTTTAAAAGGAAAGGAAAGTAAAATAATAAGGAATTTAATACATATATGTTATTATACACTTTGCGCAAATTTTCACTGATATTACAATTTAGTAATAAAATAATATTTTCGTTATCAGCCATGACGTAACAAATGGGAAAATCATCATATTCGTCTTTTTTTTTTTTTTTTTTTTTTTTTTTTTTTTTTGTTCCTTTTTCCTTTTTTCCTTTTTTTTTTACTGGCCTCATCCTGCATGCTGTTTTTATATGTAACATGTTCACTGTTGGATAAATAAATGAATAATACATGCCCATATAAAAATTAAAAACACTTAATAATAGCATATGACATCACAAATAACTAAAATAATACACAATTTATAGCATCAACACAGTAAAGGTTTAACTTCATTTATATATTTTATACATGTTTTAGGCGAAAAACATGTTCTTAAGAAAGTGAATGTTTTTAAAATTCTTAAAGGTCATATATTAATTTGCTCAAAAATGTTGCAACAGAATCTTTATGTATTTCAATACAGATTTCGTGTCAGGTTTTTATAAATTTAACCAAAAATTCTGCGATTTATCTACACCAGGTAATACCAAACCATCTTGTCTATTTAAATTTGAGTAAAATTACTTTTCAAAATGAATTATTAAATTCCAAAATTAATTATTTGTATAATTAATATTATTATAGTAAAGGTACTTTTCAAAATTAATTATTCCTTTCTAATTAACATTTATTCACATTATGAAAATACTATTAGCCTTTATAAATTTTTGTTCATATTGTCATTTGCTTAAGATATTAAAATGATTTTTAATAAAATGAGAGATTCTATTATGTAAATTGCTTGCTGGTTTTTAAAAAGAAAAATATTCCAAAATTATTGCTCCCAGAATTGACGATTTTACCAGCAGTCCTTTTTAATATTTATACACGACAGTTATATGCTTTTATGTACGTCAGTTATATGATTATATAAAATATTTTATAAAGTCCAGAAATCTCTACTTTTAGAGGTTTCATGAATTTAATGCATTTCTTTCATTTATTAGCAATTAATATTTTGAATTTTACGGCATTTATAAATCTTTTTCTCCCGTTACTAATGTAATGTTTTTTATAGATTTTTATTATAAAGTATTTCAAAAGTAGAGATGTTCTTACATTACTCCTAGTTATGAAATGTTAATTTATTAGTCCAAATTTTTTTAATATAAAAAGCGCTGATTTTTAAATTAAAGGGAGAAAAGTTAATTCCAGAAATGTTGCAGTTTTGTTTGCAGTTCCAGTTGTAGTTTTGGGATTAATGTTCAAAAGAATTCTTTTCCAAGATTTTTGGATTGTTTTATAACATTTTCCTAGAACATTTATCAACAGAGCACTAAAAAGTTATTTTTGAGCAATTATTAGATGATTTCAAAAGCTTTTTGTCCAGCGAAGTTTGATATGAGTAAAAAATATTTTCGAATCTGAGTGATGTGAATTAAAAGCCACTTATTTGTTAGCATTTCATAGCCTTCAAGTATTATTTTTAATTATTTTAAAATTTTTAATTGATATTTATAAAAGTTTTTTAAATAAATATTTTTTTAATTTGTTTTAAATTCCTTGAATCATATTTTTCGCCTCGGTATAATCAATTATATTGTTTGTCTGGAAAAAATATGAATACTTCATGAAAAAGGAACACTTTGCATTACTAGTTAACTGTACAAATAGTGGAACGTCTATATTACATGTGACAGCGCTATCTACGAAGAATATATGCAAATTAACATTTTCTTCGCAGGACTAAGTTTTTTTGGAAAGTAGCTGTAGCTCCATCTAGTGGACAGAATATCAAACGCCACTCACAGTATAACAAAACAAAAGAAACCACAGTTCATTAGAATTTGAACATAAAAGTTTATGAACCATAAAAGATAATTTTTTTTCTTTGGCATCCAATTCGAATGTGATCATTCATAAATTAATGCTTGTAAAGCGGTATTTAAATCTTCAGTAACTGTATTTTAAAATCCAAAAAATGCATTGAATTAAAGAAAAAATTCTTTAAAGAAGTAACTAATTCAAGAAAAAAATTATCGTAGGTCTTTTTTTTTTCCACTTGCCAGAATAAGGAATTTATTACATAAACGAAAAATAAATGTTTAATCTTTCTAATCAAACGTGGTTTCACATTAAAAAACTAAAACACACAACATGTAACACAGAATAATCAGGTCTCTCAATGTTTTTTTAGTTACTAATTATATGCAAGTGCGCGCGTTATCAATTAATTCGAAGAATTTTTTTTTTATGTGCATTTAAGGCAACTCCATATCATGTCTATGTCAATGAACATAAAATGATCATCTGGAACGATATTTCAAGGAAGGTTGATTAAAGTTTGGTAAGCTTGTCGTAAATTCTATAGTCGTAAATTTTACACATGAAATTAGAAAATTCTAAATAGTTAACCGTTAACACTGCGATGAGTGATAAAATTTTTAATGAAAGTTGCACATAATGTAAATTATAAATTCTTCCGAGGTGCACAATTGTTTTTCAATTGATTCTTTCATTGTAAAGTAACTTCGGAAAAAGCAAGAAGAATCAAGGAAAGCAATCATTGGGCAAAATCTGAAATTAATCCTATTTACGAAAAACTATTTTGCGAATATTTTTAATAAGGATGATTTTAATGAGCTGTACGAAAAGAAGTTTTAGTAAATTGCTGCATCACTAACAAAATGACAAAATCACTATAATCAACCTCGATTAAGGGTCCTTCCTAGAGAAACATGGCAAAAAACGCGAAGACGTTTGTGCTAGTTCAAATATGTTCCATGACTGATCTACGAGAAAATTTTAATAATTAAAATAATTTATAATACTGCTGTTCCGTTAAAGGGCAAAATTAATTAGAATATTTGTGATGGTGGTACAGAATACAAATACGATGTGAAATAATTATTAACAAATCTCACAAAAAGTAAAAATTTCGTTGAAATGAGAGTTGTAAATTTCTGGTGTGTATGAAAACACTAATTCTAGGAATCCTATGAACTTTTATCTGCATTCCTAGTCTAAAATAGTGATAAAAAACAAAAGAATTTCGATTCAAGTTTTGATGAAAATAATAAGGATATTTAACCGTTTTTGGTCTTAATCATTTGTAGGCAGTTTTAAGTATATTACAAGCAAGTCTCACCAAACAACAACATTATACAATAACAGCAAACATCTAAATGAAATAAATTTGAATTTAACAAAAATAAATTATATCTCGTATATGAAAAGATGCTCCCAATTCACATCCAATCATGTGAGGCAATCAGGATTGTTAAAATGGAGTCATTTATAATTCGTGAAACCATACTGATCTTACGTTCTGTTTAACTTACAGACTAAAATTCTTCCTTTTGTAAAATTTAATGAAATTTTAATTTAAAGTATAGAAATTTATGAATATAGGAACTAAATTTTCTTTAAATTATTTATATTTAGAAAGGAAATTCTTAAGTATGCTTCGCTTTCGACTAATCAAATTTTTTTAGTATTCCAAAAGCAACCGTTTCATATTGCCTAAAATAAATCTAGAAACAGCGCGATTAATGTAATGAAATGCCGAATATATCTAAAACCATACTGCTGTTGCCATGCGTGTGAAATGGGGGATCTTTTGTTAGTAACCGAGAAACGAATATGTCTTGTGAGCGAAAAGTAGGCACAAGATCCTCCAACAAGATGGTAGTCCATCCTCATCTTGCGCAGACTTTTAGGCGACGTCAGTACCTTACGCAGTTCATCACGTGATTTGATGTGATGTTACAATAGAAATAATAATTGCAGAATATAAGTTATGCATTTTAAAGATTATTTACGTAGTAATTTTTAGACTATGTCAAGAAGTTGAAATGGGAAATTTACTATTATTATTATTTGTTTAGTTTAGTTGGAGGAAGCTTTTGCATCTCAGTACACGTTTAGATTCGTTATCATTTTAACGGAAAACGTTAAAAAGAAAAAAAACTTAAAATAAAGCAGTAAGTCAGTGACGTCACCAACATAAGGGCTGAGACTAAAACCGTTGGTGACTATTGTACTTGGCAATAAAACTGTCCTATCAACCAAACCCCTGCATACATAAATACGTGTATCTGATTTTTTTTTACATTCACAGATTATTAATTGCAGCCTGCAAAAACATAATGGCTGGCATAGCCAGCTTCCGAATGGTCATTTTCTACAAGAAGAGTACCGCCGTTTACTTGACTTTCATCATAATGGTGGACAGAACAACTCCTGCAAGCAGTCCAATCCAGCTGTGGGGGTTAAAGGTGCCAGGTGCGGCGTTGCACCCATCACTATCACAACTACAGTACTGTATCAGGACGTTGAAAGTGCCGGCTCGTTTGAAGCAGTCTGAACCTTCTTTCTCACTGTTCAAAAAGCCACAGCCACGAACGATTCGGTAGTCATCTCTCACTAAACGAGAAGAAAAAAGAAATAGGGTTACAGTCATAATTACACGAAATAAAATAAAATTCTTAATAACATTTCAATATGTGCTTCTAGAATCCACCTGTATTTCCAGAATTTATGACATGTCGAGAATTTAAGGGGTATCAGAAACCCCTATACCGACAATGTTAAATTGGCCATTTTTGATGCACCTTTTCTCAAAATCTGCTGCAGATACAAGCTTGAATTTTTTTCTGTAATTAAAGTATACCTATCTGATTATACTGAAATGAGCTTTTGAAACATTTTGAATTTTAGAGTAAATTAGAGAATATTTTGTTAGGCATAGTAGAATTTAGCACTTTTCTCACACAAAAAAAATAAAAAAAAATTTTTTTTTCAAAGTTTATTACAAAGAGCTCATTTCAGTAAATATTAGGGAACCTCATAAATAAGCCATAAAACGTTTAGATACCTGTGAGCAGTAGTTCCTGAGAAAAGGTACATCGAGTATAAAAAAATCACGTTTGGAGAAAAACGCGTTTTTACTCGTATGTAAAAATCATCATTGATCAAAGCAGTAGATGACAAATTAAAACTAGATTTTTTTTACAGTTCTAATTTTCATAGAGATTAAGGCATGGTATTTTTAGAAAGATAAAAGTGTATAGAATTTGAAAATGCAAAAATCCGAAACCACAATTTTTTGAAGATTTTGGGGTTCCAACACCCCTTAAGACATGTCTGCCCATGTCCAGAATTTAAGACAATTAATTTCCTTGAAAGAATGAAAATGTTTTACAAAGAAAAAGTTTCCAGGCAACAGATACACAGAGGTAAGAAAAGCAAATAGGGGATCAACCCCCTTTTTTTTTCCATGCCGTACAATTACACTGAAAAATGAGATAATTTAAGTTTAGTATTTATAAACAAAACTTTTTTTCGGTGTGAAATATGTGAACTTGAAATTGAATAGGTACACTTTATAATCAGATTATTTGTTTAAATTTTCAGTAAATGACTATTCATTTAAATTGTCAATGAATTCTGTTCTTAAATAGTCAAAGAAGCTAGAGGCTGTTAGCGAGCCAAAATTTGACAGGGACACTTAAGCATTACTCATTGGTTTAAATTCGGAAACTTGAATGGCCACTCTCTTACGCTCAATGAGCTAAAATATTCACATTTTCCTAGGTCTTGCATCGGGAATATGACCAACAGTACATGTTTACAACGCAGTCATTGGTGTCTTCATGTCCAATCAGTGCTTTGTTACAATTTCAGCAATTGAATCCACGACCTTCATCGTCAACCGAGTGCGCTGAGATTTGAATTTAAAACTTTTTAAAAAGGTTTAAAATAACCTACTTATTTTCAAGAGAATTTTGCCGCCTGAATTTCTCTTTTTCAGCAAAGAATAAGTTTTTTTAAAGAACAGCATTCGTTTGAGTAGTTCTGACTCCATAGTTCTCCGTCCTAGCTATTTCGATAATGCTGTCCTTAGTGAAAACTAAAAAATTCAAATTTTCTTAGTGTTCGGCCTGTTCTTTGAAGTAATCATTTATGGGGTCGGAAATGCCTTTATGTAGCAACAATTGTCTCAAACAGTTAATAAAAAAATTGCAAAGAAAAACAGCAAAAACCAATCTATGAGATGAAATCTGTAAATATATTTTTAGAATATGGGATTTATTATTAAAATCATTTAACAAATCTAATAATTTTTTGGTTTAAAGAATATGAATCTAAACTTTAGAAAATAACCCTGCATAATGTGCTCAGTAATCCACCGCGAGAATATAATAGTTGTGGACGAAATGTCCTGGAACATTCTACCGCCAGTTCAGGTACATTTTACTCTAGAAGGATAAGTTAAACATCCGAAATTGTTGCATTTAGGGAGGAGGGCTGTCGAAATGACAGCGACAGCATTGAAATACGTTCATCCTAACCATTATTTACCGATAGCCTTTAACCAGTTAACTGTGGCGCTCTCGTTTAAGAGTGCGCACTGTTTTGTGTCGCCAGAATCGAACCATGACGAGTATCTGGTAAGATATTGGATGAAAAAGATGGGTTTATTTATAAAATTGAGAGTTTTATTACTAATATTGACTTATTTTGTTAACGTAAGCATATATTACATACATATTAAACTAAAAACGCAATCAATTAAATTAAATATTATACATATAAAAGTAAGAATTTAAATTCCTGCTGTGGAGTGCTATTCAGCGAAACAGGGTACTATACACAATGGGACTTTGCAAATCGAACACCAGTAACGCGATTCCTTCCTGATCTTACCGTCTGTAGAAATGCGAACACCTTCGCATAGGTTTTTTTTTTTTTTTTTTTTTCCTCCATGTTCCAGCTATATAATCCGAAACATGATTCTTGCCTAATCGGCTTATATTAGGTCTAAATGGCCGAGTTTGTGTCGATTTATTTCTATAAATTGGATATGTCGCAAAAGTGTCTTCAATAAATTTGAGCAAAAAGTTGATACGCGATAATGTTCCATTATTTTTTTATATAATATGAATGCATTCAGACGCATAGTGTCTAAGAAATAGAGAAATATCTTTTTGTAGTACTTTTTGAGTCGTTTTCTTGCTGTGGAGTACACTAGGCTAATTCCATCGCTTCACCCATTTTTTTGTTATAATCAATCCCTAGCTCCGGTTTCTTTGTTATTATTTTTCTTTTCTCTGTTTCTATTACGTTGTCATTATGTACTGTACTTACTAAATAAACCTCCCTCTTATCTTTCCATTTCATTAACATAATATACGCATGACGAGTATGCTCGTCAATACACAAAATCGTGTCGCTTCTCGATAACAAGTATACTCGTCAATCACACTTAACTGGTTAAAGGCTCCTAGTTCTTAGCCGCTTCTAGTTCACTTTTTCATTAGTAGATAACGTTACGCCTTTTGTTTCTTAACATGTGGTTAGAAATTCTTCGAAGCTTCTTTGTTCTCGGGTAAGTGTACGTTCTTCTTTGTCTCAATTATCAATCGCAACTGAAAAGGAAGATTCTATTTGATCTTCAAAACTAATTCTTTTCCCAATGGCAGGCACTTGCCACTCCTAAGGCCAGAAGTGGTGGTTAATATTGTGGAAGCACCTAATAGGTGTCCACCATTACCTCCTATGAAGGCACAGGCAATTTTACATCCATGCATTCTTCGGGATTCGACCTCAGGCCCTTCGGTATCTCAGTCAGGCTTCCCTAACCACTATACCGTCTGTGTACTTAAGTCTGTTACTTTTAAGTCGACAGTTAGAGACATGGAAAGCGCAATTTGAATTTAGTCAATCGGCGCAGTAGAACGGGAGATATAGAAAAGCTCTTTTTTTTTTTTTTTTTTTTTTTTTTTTTTTTTTTTTTTTTTTTTTTTTTTTTCTTGCACAGTGTACCTATGTTGAGAAACTTTTTTGTAATTTCAGAACACCATTTGTACTAACGTTATGCTTTATTTAGTATATGACATACGGCTAATCCATAAACTGTGTTTGCCAAAGCAATTCGCCAAGATTACTACAGTAAAAAAAGTATTTTTTAATCAACTTTGTGACCGAAGCTAGGGAACCTCGAGTGTCGTGATCAGAAGTTTCTTCTTTCGTATACATGTCATTTGATAACTATTATATTCAAACCTTTACTGCGTCTTCTTAAATGCCTGTTAAAATTGTGGCAGGAGAAAAGACAAGCAAACTAAAAATTTCAATTGTAAGTGCAAACTTGAAGTCTGTTCAGATGGAAGAATCCAGTCGATTATAAACCTTACCCTTCTGGAGGATTTTCCGACACACAGTAGCCTGCTGTTGAGGGAAGTGCTCGAGGTTCCTCTGGTTGCAATCTGTAAGGGCGAAGGTCGCGTTATTGAATGGATCTCCACAGTCTCTGTCATAGCGAGAATTGCATTCCCAACACTTGATAGCAAAGCCTGAAACAGAGACATTAATCAAAATAAATAATCACAGTATATGCAAATGTGAGGGAATTTACTCAGCCCAAGGCGTACTGTGTTCATTCCAAGCGTACATAGCCCCCAAAGCCTTTAACTAAAAATTAAGATACTTACGTATTATCCCGTCAACTATGAAGCTGTCGCCAAGCAGCGCGATTTAGCGCCAATTATGGACAAGCGCGACGTAACAGCATACTCACAATTATATGTTGCTTTCGTTTAATAAACCCCGATTGATTCTTGATAAGCCTCTTTTGTGTTTATGAACAAGGATATAAATTAACTGTTAATGCTATATTTTCTCCCTGGCATTTTGAAACAAATGATTCAAAATTTGGCACCTTTTTTCTACAGAACCGTAAACAGCTGATTATTTAAAAAAAATATGAGATCCTACCATCGAAACAGTGTGTATCAGTCGGTACGAGATATTCAGCTGAATCTGGTCAACAAAACAGTACCAGATTAGAGCAATTGCATGCAGAAAGTTTGTACTTATAGCATCACAAAGAAAGCTTCCGTCAAAATCGGAGGGCTTAACAAAATAGCAAAAATCGACGAATGCCTTTTTATGAAGCGCAAAAACAAAGCCAGTGTGATACTAGTCGTTAATTATATAAAAATATATCAGTTTCTTTAGATTTTCACAGCTCTGGCGGAAATAACTATAACGGTCGAGGGCATAATACGTAAGTACCTAGAAGGTAACTAGCCAGCTAACTACACCATAAGACATGATATATTTAAGGAGATACAAAGAAAACGTCTCTCGAATCTTATCTCCTGATCACACATATAAAACGTTCGTTCTACAATCTTTATCGACTTAACTACTGATCTCACAGTCATGTACACTGCGGAGGGGGAATCTACTTTTTATATAAAAAGACTAACACTTGCACAGGATGACTGATTACTGATTGTTAATGGCAAATCGTCAACTCGTATAAGACAGCAATGTTGCCCATCAAAATTATTAGAACTCTATGAACTTAGGCACAATTTAATTTTGGTCGAAAATATTTTTTGAAAAAAAATCTGGAAATTTTCAGATTCTATATTACTCCCAAAGGGGCTTGTTTTAATGTTTTGTGTGTTGTCTTTATTTATTTAATATCATATTCCACTTAAACCATAAAATTCAACTCAACAATTACATCGCAAAATAATTTAAAAAGAGCATAGCTTTAGAATTTCCGATACACAGTCTCGCGCCTTGGAGATAATTATTTTTTTCAATGCAGTGTTGCCACTGCTCGCTTTGAAATCGTTGAGTTTGTCAATCAAAAATTCGTTAGAGTTTTACAAAATATGAAATAGATAATAAAACAAATACCAAAATCCGGCTTCCAGATGCCCATATTCGGGTGGAAATGTACGTTATTCAAAATTGCATGGCTCTAGGTACCTTTGTTTTACCACAATGCGAGAAACATACATACATTTATGCCGATTCTTCATTATTTAATTTTTTTAATATAATACGCAGCTGTAATATTTGGTGGCAAGAGTTTGACAAGTGAACCGACAGTTATCGTGAACGAACGCCAAAGCGAAATTAATAGCCTTCGGAACTAACACCCTTTGGGATAAAAAATTTAAAAGTATGGAAAACCACACAAATATTTCTCTTTTCTTCTAAAATAAAACAGTATTTGCAGCTGTCCGTTAATGAAACTGAATCTTTACTATTAAATAAAATAAAAACTGAAAAAGAATTTTGAAAATTCTATATGTTTCTGCATTTCTTTTTGGAACGTAAAATGGTATAAACCAAACGCTTTCAACGTTTTCTGCCCCATGCATACCTTTCACTACTGGTAGATGGTTTTCTTAGAATCAGTTTTACATGGCTTGTAATTCTTTCCTAGCTATTCGATATGCTCACGAACTGTTAAAATCTGTAGCATTTTTATTAAGAATCAATGGCGCATTTCAGCAGAAAACTGCATGCAAGCAGTAGTCACATTTCTTAAAATAATGCCACCACTGACTGCACTTAATCGTTACTCACCCTTGAATTGGTACCATGCCCATATAATGGAAATGCAGAATGGCCTCCCAATATCTGGAATGTAGCTTTTTCTTTGGCTTCAAGGATGAGTGATTGATTTGTGTGGCTTATATGACTTGTGAAACACAACTCAAGTACGTAAATTGATTATCTAATGACTATTAGCTACCCTAGGCAGTCTCGTTTGAAGCTGCTGATGAAAATCTAACAATTACTGCCTAAGACTCTAAGAATGTAGAAACTGCATGCAAGTATCAATCGCATTTCTCAAATGAGCGCCTACTAAATAAATATCACCAAGTTACCATGGTAACGTAGATCCACAGACATATAGGTACTTGAAAATGCTTGAAATATTATCAGGTTGGATCTACGGGCTTATTTAGAGCCTTTTCAAACAATATCGGATATTTTTAACGGTCAAAGGAGCATGGCGAGCGATTATCGAAAGCATATATGACATTTATATACTTGAATGCCGAAACAGATAGCGAAATGCATTGCTAGAAGTGGTGCAGCCGCTTCATATTAGCCCACTTAGGAAGGAGGCACTTCCAGACCTGGGCAATATGAAGCTATGACCCAACACCTACAGACGATTCAAGAAGGCATAACCTCCCCGTCAACCCAGAGGGGACAAAATTGCACACAAAGTTTATGGATCACAAATCAGAAGCGACCGGCAAGCAGTCACCTACAAAGAGAACGAAGTCAAAGACTGTCCCCCCTCCTCAGTGTTGACCAAGTGCAGCCAAACCTCCAACGACAACCTTGATTACTATTAGTATAAAGGTTCACTTACAAAAGGTAATAAATTTATTCTTTCTCTCTCAAATCTGCCATTTTCCTATTAATCATTTACGCAAGCATGTTCATAAACGTCAGAACTGCTGCAGTATTTCTTGGTGTTGCAATCTCAGTTTTGCTCAGTATATTATATTACAATTCTAAAGCACGGTGTTGGCACTATTATATAATACACTCTGGATTCGTAGTTAATCTCCAAGCTATTTCAGTCAAAATCCTTCCCCAGGTAAAGTGCAGACGCAATGGTTGCTAGGCAACGGCAGCCCCAGACACCTTCGCGGACGATCGATACATCCAACGAATGACAAAAATTTGGGCGTTTGGCCTTTCGGTAAAGAATCTATTTTTAGAGCTACATTTTGGCACGTACGGGTGCAGGCACACACTGGGTTCTGTTTCAGAATTCTGGTAATAAGGTTACCATCAAAGCAAAAGGTCCTTCCTTTATTTTTTTAATTAAGAAAAGAATTCTAATACTTTGACTTTTCTTTCTATTAGTCCGTGGAATCAAATTTAATAATTCGGAAAAGAAATTTCTATGTTATTTTTTTGGCTGTATGCTAATCTCCTTATTCTATATTAGTTTTAAATTTTTACCTTGAAATCTTGCCTAAAATCAAACGGCGAACCCTAGGTGTGCTCAGACCGGGCTCACCGATAATCTAAGACAACTGTATTCTTTGTTTCTCCGCATCTCATTGGTCAGTTCTTGGACAACAATGCTCGTTTCAGCACTCTTTTCGAAGCTCTATTCAATCAGTGTGTCCACTTTGGGCACACCCACAGAATTAAAACGATAAGTGCTATCTTCACAAAATGTTACTTGTGTACTCCTCTAGGCCTAATTAGACTGCCTACCTTTTTTTTTTTTTTTTTTTTTTTTTTTTTTTTTATAAACGAAACTTCAACTTTAAAAGGTAGCGTGCTGGAAAGGGTTAACAAACTCGAGGGTTTCAAAGTGAGCTATGGCAACGTTGTACAGAAAAAACATTTTTATCTCCAGCGCGTGAGACTGCGTGTCGGAAATACTAAAGATATCTTCAATTTAAAATTATTTTGCGATATTGCTCTTGAACTGAATTTTACGGTTTAAGTGCGAAGAACGTGATATTTAATAAATAAAGATAACACACAAAATGTTAAAAAAGTCCCTTTGGGCGTAATTTAAAATCTAAAAACTTTTCAGATTATCTTTTCTTTTTCAGTCAAAAGGGACAATTGGCCCTGAAGGACTATTAATTTTATTTTGACATTTTGCGTTGAAAACTTTAAAAGGCTGTATCACTTTTCAAATCGTTGCCACCATATGTTATCGCTCTGTCTTATATTTGAAGAAATTAAATAATGAAGAATCTGCATAAATGTATGTATGTTTCTGGCATTGTGATAAAACAACGGTACCTAGAGCCATCCAAATTTGAATAATGTAATCTTCCATAGAATATGGGCATGTGGAAGCCCCCTAATTTGTTTTATTATGGATTTCAGATTTTGTAACACTTCAACGAATTTTTGATTAAAAAACTAAACGATTTCAAAGCGAGTAATGGCAACACTTAGGGGGAAAAAGCGTTTTTATCTCCAGGGATACAGTAGACTCTGTATCGGAAATTCTAAACATACACTCATTTTAAAATTAATTTGCGATATTGCTATTGAACTGAATGTTATAGTTTGAGTACGTAGAATATGATTTTTAATAAATAAAGGTAAGATACAAAACGTTAAAAAAATCCCCTTTGGACGTAATTTAAAATCTGAAACCTTTCAGATTTTTTTTTTCCTATTCTTAATAATTTAAACCTTAATTTCGTTGACATTTAAAAGTCTACAGAGCCTTTCTAACTTTTTTTTACTTATATGTTACGTTACATGGTATTATGTCACCATGCATTTAGACTCCAACCACCTCGGGAAGTGTTTTCATTGCGCCAAATATAAGATATTATTTTACCACGCCAAGCTAACCAGTTTCCACATTGTTGCCATTCGATACGATTTTTGATTTTTAACCTTTAAAACTAACTTTTTTAACACACTGAACTATTTAAAAGTAATAAAAAAATTTTCATAAATTTAGATCTTCATTTTATTTCTAATAATATATCTAACTGTTGTATTTTAAAATATATTTAATTCATAATAAAAAAAACTG